GTTACTTTTTCCGATTTTGCATTTCAACACGAGTGACTCAGGAGAATGTATTAAGTCCCAGAAGGAGGCATTTACACAGATCTGTCAGAATCTGTACCAATCTAGCACAGGAATCTTCTTAAATCACATCATTAAAACAAGTGCCCTCCCCTGAAAGTACTCTTGGAGCTGGTGTTGGGCATAAGGGCTGTGATTTATAAGGGAGGAGGCTAGAGTATCTATCCTCAGTGTTTCAATTTTATAGGTCTTTGCCTCATATCAGTGTGTTAGATTCTTAGGGTGGTAAACTCCTCTCCTTGGATGTGGCGAGAGAGGTGGAGAGAAAGAGAAATAATTACGAGAGTTTGCCCTGGAGAAAAAATGTTGCCCTGTTCTTGCCACCCACGCAACTAAATGCTGGGCAAAATGTTCATTGAATGCTTGAGAGCCTTGCTTGCTGCTGAGTCCAGAAATTGAGTGGTCAATAAATGGCCACTTAATGGCCTCAACTCACCTCCTTAATGGCCACACTCCCTGCTCACTTGCTTCTCTAACACAGGGACAGTGACTAGCTTCCACTCTGGCAATGGGTACCGATTGCCCACTGTGTGACAAGGTAGAAAGATTTACCTTTCCACTCCCGGATTCCTTCCAGAGGAAGTCTGAATGGTGATCCTTTAGGACCTGGAAGCTGCTGGCTTCCAATTGATCAGGAACTTGGTCTGCCAGTATCAAGGCACCTGATAGGGTGAGAAACTTTGCCTGCATTGCCTGTCAGCTCTTAATGATCTTACAGGCAAGTGATAAGCTGTTATCTCAGCATTGGATGTTGTGTGTGTATATTGTCACCCTTGCTCCCACACTTAAACAAAACTTGGGAAAATCTTAGCCTTAGAGTTAAGTGTTTCAGCAGTCATGCTTTAAACAATTTAAAGCAATGTGGGATTGACTACGATGGTAGACCAGCAAGGTGCATGTACATCCTGTTTGTGAAAACCTCCTGCATCATCGATTAATCCTGATGTATGAAGTGCTTGCAGAATGTTCAGAGGTTGTCATAACACTTTGGAAATCAGAGTGTTTACCCAAACATGAGTTCTGGAAGGTGCTGGAGGTAAGGCAGTTGATAATGACCACCAGACAGGTAGAAGGAAAATACAGTGGACCAGAAATGTCTAAGCCAGTGATTTTTCACTAACCAGTTTTCAGTGATGAATTCTGGTAAAGTGATGATCACGCTAAGAAATGTCAGGAGAACAGACTGGTGGTTATATAACCACCAGTGTGATTCCTGAGTTGTATGTTGCCTTCTTGGTACCAAGCTAAATGATATTACTGAATGAGTGATGGATGTTCTTCAAGAGGAAGGCAAAACGACCGAGGTTGTGTTCCAATTTGGAGCTAATGGCATAGGCAGTAAAACACTTGTCTGCACTGGGTGCTGAAAGTGGATAAAGAAGATTGGAAACCATGAAAAATCTACAGATGTGGAGCACTGCACCAGAGAACATGCTCCAAAGTTCTTGATTTGTGATGGAAGTCTTGGTGGGAGAGAAGCAAAGGAGGAGACAGATCCGATTACTTCATTGGGCTTGGAAACCCTCCAGGCCAGTACAAAGATGTTAGCTGTTGTAATAATTGAGAGTGGGACCTTGGACCTACAGTGCCACAAGAAGCTCAATGACATCATGTGAATGGCCAAGGTCCGTGAATGTAAATCATTCACCAACTGCACCATCCGCCTCAAGTACTGCTGCATGCACCTTCACTCAACTGTCAACAATATCAATCAAGACTCAAATCTCATATTCATAGTCTTACCCCTCCACCTTCACAAAGTGCTGTTGCAGGACCCTCACTCATTTTGTAGTCAACTATTCCATTACAGCAAGCACAGCAACCAAACACACACCACCACATCACTGACAACACATCAGAGATAGTAAGAACTGCCGATGCTGTAGTCTGAGATAACAGTGTGGAGCTGGAGGAGCGCAGCAGGCCAGGCAGCATCAGAAGAGCAGGAAAGTTGACATTTCGGGTCAGGACCCTTCTTCAGAAATAGGGGAGGGTGAAGAGAGCTCTGAAATAAATAGAGAGGGGAGGGGTGGGGTTGGGCAAGGTAGGTGGGATGGTGAAAGGTGAGTGCAGGTAGGCAGTGGTGGGGATTGGTCAGTGAGGTGGGAGGAGCAGATTCGGCATAACTTTCTCAAGGTCCACCATGCTCATCTCGCTGTTTATGATTTACAAACGGTAGCTAACGTAACCACATGTCTTCATGTCTCTTGCTTTCTTTCTCTAACCTTTCCCTGACCCAACCCTGCCTTTTATACTTTCAGATATCTGAGAACTATCGCAGGCAGATGTTGCATGGCTTTTGCTTTTGCTTCACTAAGCTTGGGTCCTCAAGTATTTTCATGGAGTGGCTCCCATGTCCAAACTGAATTTCAAATTCTGTGCCAGATTGAAGCCAGGCTCCTTCATTTTTCTTGTAAATAGCCTTTTTGGTGAACTACCAATGCACCAAGCATTTGTGTATGCATGCCCATCAGCTTTTCTGTATGCATCACTGCATTAAAACTCTCCTCTAAATCCTCTTGAGCAGACCTTGTTTGTGGACCTCACTGTTTGGAGGCTGTCACCTACTTGATTTCCTCCTTTTCTCTTTTTCCCCCACCCCACTAAAGCTGTGGCCTTGTTTAGAGCAATAGGTTGGCTTTCTCAGTCATGGGGCATAATCTGACATAGATTTTCAAACATGGAGTTCCTAGAAAGATGGGCATGGATTTGAGATACAACATGCCCAAGGGCTTTGGAAAAGAAAGGAATGTTGGACATGGAGCTGTAGTTTCAAGGACTGTGGGGTCAACAGTAGATTGAAGATCGGTCATCCTTAATGTTCAGATTAATACTAGATGGCAGAGGCTCTCTCAGCACCAGCCCCATAATGTCAAGATCCATTTCCTTCACCAGCTCAGGAGTTGCAAGTGCCCTTGTTCCCATCAGTTTCTGCTCTGTTACCTTTTATTGTATGCCACCATTACCCTGCAGGAGAAGTCAGACTGTCACTCTATGGCACTGTTTTTGAGTTAAAGTTCCTGGCAAACTGAATAACTGTAGGTATGTGGATGCAGTGAGATGTGACTGCGAGGCTGACTGAATTGCAAAGTATGTACGGTTGAGGTAGAGCAACTTAATGTTACGCGCAAATCCTGACTGTCGTGGGTGAGTGATGATGAGGATATGGCGTGTTAAACAGCATGAAACATTGGGGTGAGTAGGAGACGTCACATGAAGATGTGTTCACCGATTTTGATCACCCAAATGAAGTCATTCTACTTCCTGTGGCACCTTTTGCCAAGGTTCTCAGGACTGCAGAATTGGACCTTCCTGGCCACCTGCATCCATTCCTTGAGAGTCTGGTCATTGAGAACCTCCTGGCTCCCTGCAAATGCATTTCTTCTCCTCCCTCCTCCTCCCTCCTCCTGTATTGTCTCCTGCACCGAACCTCTCACCTATTAACGCTCCCTCGGACTGTAATCTGGTTCTTCTTTCCATTTCATTTATATGTCACCAGTGTAATTCAGTAGCAGCTTTTAAGAGAGGCAGACCCTTTTTCAAAGATTATACTGGTGCATCACACAATTATTGCAGTACTGTGATGTTCCAAGTTTATTTCTCCACTGGAGAGTACTTCCAAGTGGGATCATCTCCACGACAGTACTTACACTGTTTTGGTACAGATATGATTGGCTCAATGACCTATGTCTGCACCATATCAATTCTATGATTGGTTGCAATCCATTTGGATGTGAGACTTCATGCATATATTCAAAATCTTCAAATTGAGCCAAAATCTTTCAAACATGTACCCTGAACAGCTGAAAGAACCCAATCATTTGACCTCCTGAATGAAGGCTGTGGAGCAGATGGATCTCAGCATTCCTGTGGGTTTTCAGGTCCAGTTTGAGTAGAACTCATATATATATAAATTAGAAAAATGGAAATATGCAGTTTAAGTAAAAACCCTATCTTTGCAGTGAATTTTATGAAATGCCTATAAATTTATCTTTAAAGATGGTCAAAGTTCTTCTGTTCTGTACGCGAAGGTAAATCAGAAAGTAAAACTGCAGTGGCAGTTGAGCCATTATCTAACCTGTGGGAACCTATTTAAATTCTACATCTCGGCACTCCACAGTGTGAATGTGAATATCAGTTCTAGCCATGGGCATAGAATTGATTTGTGTGCAATATTGAAATGAAATTTCGCAGTTCCCATGACTGAGCTGCACTGCTATATTTTTCTTTAAATTGCATTTACTATCAAAGACTCAGATTGTGCAAGATTAAAGGTTTGGAATGTTGGAGTCCGTCCATAGGCAATATGAAACTAACATAGTTTTCAATAGTAGAACTCAGATTTCTGATTATTGCTCTTTCCAATTTAAGTTCCTAGTTTATTTTGTTTAAAGATGGTAAATTATTTTTCTGTACATGTATTTAGTAAACATTACTCAATATATCCAGTGGTGGTTTTTTAAAAATTGAGAATGCTTGATGTTGCTGTCTCATTAATACCCTTTTTATTTTATAGTACTCCGTCAAGTAAATTGGTTCCATTACATATCTGAATCCTCAGTGTTTTGGAATCTGCTCTCTTTTTTCTCATTTATCATCTCTCTATTTTTGCATCTTTTTGAACAGAATCTACATCCAAAGTAGTATTACAGATGTAATAGCATATGAACAATCTCTCTCATGCTCATTTGTCTGAATTATTATAAATTATGATATTTCCAGACAGGTAGATCCATTTAAGCCAGTAAGTACAAAACAGCCAGCTAAATGTTCAACCAGACACTATTGTTGGTAGAGATCATTAGTCGTTTTAGTTTTGGCAGTGGCCATGCTTTAATGCATAGAGGTGATAAACTGTGGAGAGAACAACCAGCTAAGTTTCTGAAAATGGAAGGTTTTCATAATTCTATTGGTTCTGATAATACTGTGCATTTTTCTTCCAGGTTGGGAATTATAAGCGCTCAGTGAAACGTATCGATGATGGGCACAGGCTGTGCAATGATCTTATGAACTGTGTCAATGAACGAGCTAAGATTGAAAAATCATACTCCCAGCAGCTGACTGACTGGTCTAAAAGATGGAAGCAACTCATTGACAAAGGTATCTCGACCACTTTGGCTCAGCAAGTTGTTAAATTGTAGCCACCTTTTTTCTAAAAAAAAAAAAAAGGGCTAGTTTCATTTGTAATAGTATTTGGGTTGGGGGGAAGGTAGAGATCAGGGTTTTAAAGGAGATTTTTTCTATCACTATTGATAAACCATTGTAATTATTGTGATAAATTAATACTATTTGAGAAGAAAGTTGTTAAAATATGCTTCCTTCAAATTGTGGATCATAACCAGCTACTTTCTTCAACTATGTTCCGATCTATAATTCTAACACTATTGAATTGAATCAATTTGGCATTGCTATGAAGAGAAGGAAATCCAAAAAGCCTGGATCACTAGTGGGAATATTTTATTTTTTTTTTTATGCAGACACGGTCTGGTTCTTTGAACAAGAGTGTCATTTATCCTAATTTGTTTTATTAATTACAGTTCAGCTTTCAAGAAATAACTTAGCTGTAGATGGGGAAAATTTCCTTAGCTACTTGCATGGCTAAGTGGTACTAGAATTCTTAAAAAAAAACCCAATTTGCTTCTCTTCCAAAATAGCTACAGGTATTTATGTAATTTTCACTCTCACATACCATTCACATTCTGCACTTGGTCCTTAACTGGCATTGAACTTTGAAGCGGCTTAATTAATATCCACGCTAGGCAAGGCTGCTGATCACAGCTTAGCTTATTGGCAGCTGTCTGTGGACCAACACTGGGTATGTCATCCAGGTGAATTCTTTCCAGAGAAAGAGCCAACTTAACAGATTTCTGTTGCACTGCCCTTTAATGCTGCACCCCGAGAAGTATCTTCTCCAGGGTGACCTTTTTCCTGTTTTTCTGAGGGTAATGAGTGATCCTTTAAGACCATGCAAGGAATAATTTCTTCGTGAAGAGCATTGTGAATCATTCTGCTACTAGAGTTCCGTGGATGCTGAGTCATTGTGTATATTCAAGCAGAAGTGGCTCTAGATTACTGGACTGTGCAGGAATCATAGGTTATGAAGATCGGGCAGAAAAGGGGATTTGAGATCTGAAATCAGCCATGATCCTATTGAATGGCAGAACAGGCTTAAGGCCTCATGGCCTGCTCCTGCTCATATTCCCTATGATCTATTGTATTTTCAACACTTTAAGCAAAACATTAATGACACCATTTTCCTTGCATGGGGCCATTTTCGCTATGTTGCTGACATTCTAATAACAGCTGCAGTTGGCTTTGATTTGCCTGTTCTTTCTGCAACTTTTTACTGTCTGTGTTCTCCACTAGTTTATTTTACATTTCAAAAATATACTTTATTCAAAAAAATCTTTGTTGACATAAAGACAGTTGGGCTTTGCCCAGTTACATATCAAGTAAACAAGCAAAACGTTGGACTTTGGTTTTTTTGGATCGAGTCAAAGACCTCCCTTACATGTACAATACACGTACAATACTGATGTTTACATATATTTGAGGCATTGGAAGCGTTTAATAACTGGACAGACCCCCATTTATCTTTAAGCATGATCTCGCATAGTGGTCTTTCCCCACTGTGCCTTGATGGCAGCTGCCCCAAGCTTTAGTGCGTCCCTCAGCACGTAGTCCTGGACCTTTGGAATGTGCCAGTCTCCAACACTCGGTTGGTGTCAACTCCTTGTTCTGGAAGACCAAGTTCGGGCAGACCAAATAGCTTCTTTCACCAAATTGATGGTCCTCCAGGCGCAGTCGATGTTTGTCTTGGTGTGCGTCTTGGGGAACAGACCGTAGAGCACAGAGTCTTGTATCATGGAGCTGCTCAGGACGAACTGAGACAAAAACCACTGCATCTTCCTTCAAACCTCCTTTGCAAAGGCACACTCCAGAAGGAGATGTGTGACAGTTTCAACCCCTCAGCAGCCGCTATGAGGGCAGCGTGCGGTGGTGCAGGCTGACCGGACGTACATGAAGGATTTCACAAGTAGTGCCCTGCTCACCACCAGCCAAGCGATGTCTTGGTGCTTGTTGGAAAGTTCTGGCGATGAGACATTCTGCCAAATGACTTTGACAGCCTGTTCAAGGAACCATGCGAAAGGATCCACCCTTTCCTTTTCCCTCAGGGTCTCGAGGACGCTACGTGCTGACCATTTCATGATGGTCGAAGGTTTTTCTTGTTGCAAATTTCACCACGAAGGACAGGTGATATGGAAAAGACCAACTACTTGGCAGCAGCGAGGCCAGTTCCATCCTTCGCAACACCAGTGGCAGGTAGAACCTCAGTACGTTGTGACACTTGGTGATTGTGTACCGAGAGTCTACGCACAGCTTGATGCAGCAGCATACAAAGGTGGCCATCAGGATGAGGGCAAAATTGGGTATGTTCCTAAACCACCCTCCCTCCCCCAGTCTAGAGTTTTATTAATGGTGACCATGTGGACCTGGTCTATCTTAGGCTTTCATATGAAACAGAAGATGTCTCAGGTGACTGAAACAACAGGGTTTTGGGGGAGATGGGCCAGACCTGTGCTATGTACAAAAGCAGAGAGTGCCTCACACCCGATGACCAGGTTTTTATGTGCGATGGAGAGGGAACAATGCCCCCAAAGGACCAGTTTCTGCTTTACTTTGGCAATGCACTCCTCCCAAGATTTTGTGCACGCCCCATCCCCTCCAAACCATATTCCCAGCATGTGTGGCAGCATCTGTGGAGAAAGAAAAATGGTTGAGGAGAGTCCTAACTTTCACGGAGCAGATAAACCCTGTGGTTGGGTGTCATATTTAAAAGTCCAGCCGTGCAACTCTGTGTTTTATGGAAGTGTGTTGTGAAATATTGGATTGTCAGTAAAAGGGAAGAAGTTGGAATGCTGAATAAGGGTATGTTAAAGGCTTCCACAGTTTGTGTTTGCAAGCTGACAGTGTAGTAGAAAGACACAGGAAACAATTGCAGTATTTCACCGAATTTGGGAAACCATTAGATCTCCAATGAATACAGGCCCAACTGACTTAACCAGACCTTTATAAGACAGTCCCTCCATACCTGGTATCAGCTTGGTGAACCTTCCCTGGACTGCCTACAGTGCCATTATACCTTTCCTTTTGAGAAAGGGTCCAAGACTGTTCACAGTTATCTGACTAGTGCCTTGTATAGTTCTAGCAAAACTTCACTATTTTTATGTTCTCTGCCATTTTAAATAAAGGCCAGCGTTCCATTTGCCATCTCTATTACCCACTAAACCTTAATGCTTTTCTTTTCAGATTTATGGACAAGAACTTGCAAATCCCTTTTGTTCTGTAGCTTTCTACAGTCTTTCTCAATTTAAATAATATTCAGTTCCTCTGTTCTTCCTGCCAAAGTGCATGACCTCAACTTTTTTCACATTATATTCCATCTGCCAAACCTTTATTCACTAGTTTAATCTGTTTATATTGCTCTATAGATTCATTGTGTCACCCTCGTCACTTGCCCTCCACCTATTTGTCATCTGCAAACTTGACTGTAGTACATTCACTTTACTCATCCAAGTCAATAACACATTTTGTAAATAAATGTGGCCCCAGCACTGATCCCTGTGGCATTCCAATAGGCATAGGTTGCCATCCTGAAATTGCTCCCCTTATCCCAATTTCTTGTCTTCCATTTGTTGGCTGTTCCTCTATCCATGCTGATATACCTCCAACACCAGGATCTTATCTCTCACCCTATTAATTAGCCTAATGTGTAGTCCCTTAACAAATGCTTTCTGAATATCCAAATATTATTACACACATGCTTTCCTTTTATCTATCCTGCTTATTACCTCCTTAGCGATTTCTGGTAAATTTGTTAGGCAAAGTTTTTTCTCTTCATGAAGCCATGCTGGCTCTGCTTGATCATACTATATATTTCTCAGTGCTCTGAGGGGTGGTTATATTACTGAAACATACATAATTCTGAGGGGGCTTGATACTGTAGCTTTTGAGAAGATCCAACCACTAGTGGGCTAATTGCAAACTGAGGACGTAGCACTGAGACAGATTGTGTATTCAGTGATTCATTTACGCCATGTTTTTTTACTTGCTTTCTCTCTTTTTGTCCTCTTTCCTCTGCTACTTCCACCTCACCACTTTGCCCACCTAGATTGTAACAATAACTACGCTCCAAACATATCTTATTAATTTAGAATGGTTTAGAGCATTCTGTGACTGTAAAAAGTGCCATACAAATACAAGTCTATCTGCCTTCCTTTTAATGATTATTGCTGCAAGGTTACTATGGTAATATTAATCCTGCTGCATCAGCCCCCCAGAAGGTGCATCTGAACAGTGCAAAGACAGGTCTTTGAGTTAGCCTAATGCTGCCCTTTTTCTTTGCCTCTAGACTTCTGCAGGACTGCAAATTTAACTGTGCCATTGAGGGAACCTTCGGCCCCAATATTTACTGGGAAGTAGGTGCTCATAACATCTAAGAAATCCAGAATTTTCTTTGCTGCTTCCCAGGAGGCAGCCAGCTAGACTTAAAGGAAGAAAATGAAGTGGGAGATTGAGGATGAGGGCAGAAGAGATTGCTAATTGTGGAGCGTTTGAAGTGATTGCAGAGAGGAAAGTGGATAAATGCTTACAGTGGGATCTGGCCTTTCACACCCATCTTCAGCTGCCGTCATTCCCAGTGCTCTGGTGAAGAGTAGGTCAGATTTCAGATTTTTGAAATGCTAACATTACCCCAAACCCCATCCTGTCTTTGGTGGCTGAGTGTTTGCAGGTTGATTAAATTTTCTCCTGAACTCATAGAGCTGATTTATGTTTTACTGATCTAAATGCTGGGCAGACATGTTCAGCAAATATTGAACCGCTGCGCAACTGCCTCTTACGGTAATCTTTGGCTTTTGAAGGCGTACATATTATACGTCTGTCTTGTATCCTTTTTGGCAGTGGGGACATTCAGGGTTAAAAAAAAACAAAAACATATTTTGCCATTAATTCCACTTAATATTCCAAATTGAAGTCATAAACGTATTTTTTCTATGTATTCTTATTTGTTAATTTGATGTGCAATTCTTTGATGGAGT